AATTGTTTTGTCTGCATCTATTAAGATGATCATGTGGTTTGTGTCCTTTCTCTTGTTGATGTGATGTATTGCATTGTTTGATTTGCATATGTTGAACCACCCTTGTGTCCCTGGGATGAATCCCCCTTGATCATGATGTATAATCTTTTTTATGTGCTGTTGGATTCTATCAGCTTTTTTGCTGCTGCAGACACAACAACAGCAGCAACAACAGTAAGGGGGTGGGGTTGGGGGACTGGGATGCTCATCTTTACAGCAAAATGCCCACCAAGAAAAGTAGAAAGCAATGATAGAATTAGAGAAGCACCGTGTTTTCAATCACCAAAGTAATAATCAAATCAGTCCCAGACCCTGAATTAAAACTAAGGCCAAGTGAAAAATTTTTGGAGAACAGAATACCCACATGGTCTCAAAACATCATGCCACAGGCTGCTCATAAATCACAGAGGGACAGAGGTACCTTTACAATGGTGTGATCTGTCCAATAATGCCTTAAATAAGTGATCAAACTGAGTAATGCCAACAGCAGCACTGATGCACTAACAGCTAGACAAACTGATCTTAGGAGCCTCCAGATGCAATGAAGTGTGACCTACTCATTACCTATTTAATATTCTTGCCAAGACTATTACATCTAAAAACATAAATCTAGACAAGAGAAAAGTATCAGGCAAACACATATTGTGGGCACTTTATAAGCAAATGGGCCTAGGTTCTTGGAAAAAGTCATTGTCATGGAAGATTTAGGTGGAGGGGCTGTTTGGGACTGGAGAATACTAAAGAGAAAAGACAGCTGAATGCAATGTGTGATACTTGATTGGATTGTTCATCCTCAAAAGGATATTATTGGGACAATGGAGGAAATATGAATAAGGACCGTATATGAACTTAGATAATATTATCATGTCATTGTTAAATTTCTTCAATGTGATAATAGTACTGTGGTTAGACAGGAGCACATCCTAGTTCTTAGCAGATATATTCTGAAGTAATTGGATGAAGTGTTTGGAGCTGTTAAGCGGCTAAGCAAAAAAGAAGAAAAAAGAGAGACAGAGCAATGGGATAATACGAATCTAAGTAAAAGAATGTTCACTCTTAAACGTCGTGCGTTTTCAAAACAAAAGGTTGAGGAAAATGGGTTGCTCATATTTTAGAGTTATGCACTGAAATAGTTACGATAAAATAAGATGATTTCTGATGCTTTCTAGAAAATACTCTGGGAGGGGGAGGGTAAAAGGTATATATGAATTGAGATTGGCTATGAGTTGTTGATGGTTGCAATTGGGTGATGGATAATTGGAGGTTCCTGCACTATTCCCTTTTGCACAATGATTCTCAAGTGTGGTTCCCCACCACCAGCAGCTGCAACACCAGGGAACTTGTCAGAAAAGCAAACTCCGGGTCCCACCCCAGAATTTGTAATTTGAGACTACAGATGCAGTCTGTCTGAACAAGTCCTTTGGGTGCTCCTGGTGCAAGCTCATGCCCCAGGACCACCGTTCTACTGTAATGAACCTGGAGACTGCTTGCAAGTTTGTACACAAACTCCATTTGTATATGTTTGATATTTCCACAGTACATCTTTTTTTTTTTTCAAAAAAGCAAAGAAAACAGGCATCTCAGCTGTTTAGTGGTCAAGTTTTAATAAAAAGTTTCAAGACAGATCATCCTAATCTTACATGAACACTTCCAGAGGATAGCAAAGATCGACTTTTGCCCACCTCAGTCTATGAGAATAGAAAATCTTGACGCTGGAACCAGTAAAGATTTAATGAGAAAGAGAAACTTCAAGTCAATCTTGCTCATAAACAGAAGATTCAAAAATTTCTAAGCAAAACTTTAGCAAAGTGAAGCTGCCAGCATACACAAGAGATGATACACCATGACTAATTTACATCTATCCTAGGAGAGCAAAACTGGCTTAACACTAGAAAACCTATGGATGGAAGGGGACGTGAGAGGGGTTTGTGTGTTGCTAATATATTCTGCTGCTTGCTCTAGGTGCTAACAGAATGTGCATGTTTAGTGTTTGGAAACTCATTAAGATACACATTTATGATTTTTCCCTTTTTTGATTATAAGGTACATACTTCACTGAAGATTTTGAAGAAAGCTAGAAATGACACTTACTATATTAACAGATTAAATGAATAGAGTCTTGATCATTTCAGTAGAGGCCAAAAAAGTAAACTCCAATATCTATTCGTGATTTTTAAGACAACCATGTTAAACTAGAAATATTAAGAAAAATCCCTTAATCTGAAAAAGGGAAAGAAAGAAAAGAGAGTGAGAGAGGAAGACAGAAGAAATGAAAGAGAGAAGGAAGAAAAGAAGAAGAAAGGAAGGAAGGAAGGAAAGGAGAGAGAGAGAGAGAAGAAAGATAGAAAGGAAAGAGAAATAGAGAGAAAATTTAAAAAAAAATGAAATACCGCAAACCTATTTTAATAAAGAAATGTTGGCAGCACTCTATTTAATATTAGGAACAACCCAAAGATGCCCAATTTTGCCGTATCTGTTTGACCTTGTGGTGGATGCCTTAGCCAGCATAGGAAGAAACTTGTAAGTTGATTATCTTACTTCTGTTACTCACAGATTCATGGAAAACTGTGGAACCCCTGTAGACACATTATTAGACATTTCAGAGTTTAGCGTGGTGGCTGACGTTAAGGTCAATATATTTTTTAAAAGTCAAATGGATTTCCATAAATTAGATGCAAGTAGAAAGTGTCATTTTAAACAGGTATCAAGCACCAGAGCTGCAGCATTCTACAGTTTCTTGAGATAAACGCCATAAAAGATGTACAAGATCTGAACGTACGAAAGATAGAACTAAAGACTAAACTGAAAGATTCTAACGTTAAGGAAGGCCCACAAAAATAGAGCGCCATCCCATGTTGGTGACCAGGAAGGCTGGCTATCATGATAGTCAGTCCTCCCTTAACTGATCCACGGAGTCAATGAAAACGCAATTCAAATCGGCGGCAAATGAGTTTTCAGGGAACACGGCGTGCTGATCCCAACATTTATATTTTAGAGCTTAAGAAGGGCAAAAGGCGGAGACACGGCGAAGATGAGCCCGGAGATACTGAATAAGATGTGAGGACTTGCTCTACCAGAGATCAAGCTGTCTTACCAAGAGATAAAAATTAAGACAGTGTAGTATCGGCACAGGAATAGACCGACTGATCTGTGGAACAGAACAAGGAACTCAGAGACACACAAATAAAGACCGAAAGGACTCCAGACGCTGACAAATGTTCCCTGGGGCTGCAAAATCTGATTGTGAATTGAGAATCCCTGGTTTAGTAATAAGGATCGATCTTTAAAACACACCTTGAATTTTGTAAAAGTGAATTACAGGATACCAAAGACATGAGTTCAAAATGCATGCACACACAGTAGTTCACGTGCAAAGAGAAAATAGTTGGGGAAACAAGGCTCGCGAAGCACAAAGCTCCACGTCACTTCCAGAGTTAAATGGCCCGCCTCGTAGAGCGAGCTTGAGGAGAATTGAGAGGGAGTTGACGACAGGGGCGGGGCTCCAGTGTGTGACCTTTGGCAGAACTTGAAGATCATTGGTTGCTGGCCACAGTGGTGGGAGGTGAAAGGAAGAGCTGGAAGCTGATTGGCCTTTGAGGGAAGAGCGGGAAAGGGAGCGAGCGCTGGCTGTTCCCTCAGACCTCTTGTCCCAGACGATTGCTTCTGAGCTGCTGGAGGCTGGGGTAACCACAGACTGGCATCAGGAATACGACTCTCATTCTCCACCCCCCCCCCTTTCCTCCCTCTCTCCTGCTCTGGATCCTCAACCCTTTCTCCTCTCCTCCACCTCAACAGGGTACCTCATGCCCCATTCCGCCCTTTCCCCACCTCCCACCCCACACCTCCCACCTCCCACCTCCACCCCGTCCTTGGCAGAAGTCCTGTGGGAAGACCCCTTGCCCAGCCTCCTGACCTCTGGCCTCTGGCCCCTGGGGAAGGGCTTATGCCCCTGCCTTTGATTCTGAGGTGGGGGTGGCAGGGAGTGATTGGGAAGCCTGAGAGGAGGTAGTGCCCTGGGGAAGGGCTTATGCCCCTGCCTTTGATTCTGAGGTGGGGGTGGCAGGGAGTGATTGGGCAGCCTGAGAGGAGGTAGTGCCCTGTGGGTGTGGGGGGAGGGGAAGGGGTGCTCAAGCATCGTTGTTGAAGCTTGGAAAGGAGCATGGAAGGTTGTTGGGAGGCTGTGGAGGGAATGAGTGAGTTTGCATGAAAGCAGGGAGGGTGTTTTGGTGCAAGAGAACCGTTAGTGCAGTGAGGAGTAGGCTATTGACCAGATCGGGCAGATCAAGGTCCGGCATTCAGTAGAGGGCTCGGCAAACGTCGATTTGATAAATAATCAAGGGGATGAATGAAAATAATGATTGAAAGAAGGGCTTAGGAATCCAGCAGAATAATATGATTTCATGAGATGCAGAGGGGTTCAAGCTTAAAGAGGGAACGAGTGAATAATTAAGATTTGATGAGGTGCAAGAAAAAATCATCAGAATGGAACGTGAGGGGAAAATTGAATGTAGGGCATTCATGAGACTAATAATTGATTTGAGTGCAAGGGGCATAGAATCATGAGTAGGGAGTGAATGCAGAAGGTTAGGAAGACAACTGTGGAAGTGGATGCCAGGAATAATAGTTGGGCATAGCAGAGAACAGGATGATACACGAGAAGGGGCAGGAGTAATTGTTGAAGGGGACACGAGTGTGCATGTGTATGCCTGAGAAGGGGGGTGTCTCTGTGGAGTGAAGGTAAGCAAGGAGAATTATAATTGGATTGAAAGTATACAGGACCCATGCCCAGAGTTTCTTGGAACCAGCCTATATGTGACTGGCAAGGAGGCTACATGAGCAACGGGGGGTGGGGGGTGCAATCTCATTTCAGTGGTGAGCTGGTTGGAAGAAGAATCCTACCACCTCAGAGGGGGCTTCCCAAGGGCAGAGGAAATGCATTGGGGGTAGAGGATCATGTGGCTATCCTGACCTTCACTCTTTGCCCTAGAACCATGGATCCCAATGAAATGCCTGCCGTGTCCTGCTGTCCCCCCAACCCCATCACTGGGCTTGAGACCAGAGCCCCGTGGGGGATTGGATTTAGGTCTATAAGAGCTATACGTCGCTGTGTCCGCTACTGGAAGCATGGCATCACGGACCAAGTCAAGGACCCAGGGCACCTCTGCCTCTTCCAGGCCTGCAAGCGTCGCAAGTGTTCCCGCTTCTCGTGAGTGTGACATCTGACAAGGGGAGGGGAGGGGGCCTCCTCTAAAGGTGACTGACTTTGAACCTGCAATCCACCCCATCACTTTAGGGAACACTGCAGCATCTTGCCTGCTGAGCATGCCTTGAAGAGGGAGCTGGCGCCACACCAAAGGGGGCCCCTGACTCGAAGTCAGCTAAGGAGACTGAGCACCCTTCCGAAAGCTCAGAGCCATGTCGAGAAGGAGGCCATTCAAGAAGGAGTCATCAGTGAGTGTCTCTGGCCAGGGAGGGAGTCTGAGTTTGGCTGTAGGGAGCATGAGTAGTTCTGTCACCAGGCCTGCCACCCAATGTTGATGTGGCCTTGGGTAAATTACTCTTTGGGCCTTAGCTTCCCCAACTATAAAATGTCATCAATATTATCTACCAAGTCTTGGTGGGAAGGAGAGATCTAGGGGGGCGGTCAAAAGTGTCCACAGTGAGATGAGACTTGAGATCAAGAGTGAGGTGGAGTCGGGTGGGGTCAGGGGGAAAGGCTCGTCTAAGCTGTCATCAGTGTCTCACAGCTGGGAAGGAGAATGTCATGTCCCGGCTTGAGGCCCACCCCTGTGCAGCCAGTGAGGGAGGCTCCCACATCAGCCACTACCCAGACCCCTTCCTCTGTGTCCTGAAGGCCTGCATACCATCTCTAACCATACTGCAACTTGCCACGTGACCTTGGGGAAAAATAGTACTCTCTGGGCCTCAGTGTCCCCAGTCCCAAAATGAAGAGTAAGACTAGCTGGTGTTCAAGTTCTTCTCAGCTCTGCCATTCTGGGCCCCTATCCTCATCCCCAAACATGCCCACATCTCCTGTCCATGGCCGGCTTGGTTCCTGACTCCAACCTGCACTCTCTGCTCCTGCAGGCAAGCTGCCAAGGAGCTCTGCTGATCGGTCAAGCCACGGAATCTTTGTCTCTGTCCTGGACTCCAGCACCCTTGATGAAGCAACTAACAATTTCTCTTTTGAAGAATTCCCACAGGCCCCCTGCCTTGCCCAGCAGGTGAGTAGAGTGGGATGAACCATGGAGCTGGTTGGACACTGTGTTACTTCTGGGTGCCCAACCTTGTGCTTAAGGCCATGGGAGCTAGAAGGAGGAGGCGGAGGCAGTGCGCTGGAGGCAGAGGAGGAGGAGGAGGAGGAGGAGGAGGAGGAGGAGGAGGAAGAGAAGGAGAAGGTTGGTTGTCAGACTAACGGGCAAAAGCAGGGCTCTCTCAGCTTTGCCATTTCCTATTTGTGAGACTTTGGACAAGTGACTTTATATTTCTGAGCCTCTATTTCCCTACCAGTGTACTGAGAGGGGACAATATTCTGCACCTTTGACAAGGGGACTAGCACATGGCCTGCCACATAGCAGGCCTTTGATAACTGGAGGCCGTTATTCCAGATGAAACAGATCGATGGGATACAAGGCCCTATTGAGAAGGGGCAGCCGTGATGGTGAGGGCCACAGAGGCCTAGGCGAGTGTCTAAAGGTCATTAGAGAAAGCTTCCTGGGGATGAGCCAAGCTGACCCCTCAAGTCCCATGAGGATTGGGGAATTCGGAGGAGAGAATCAGCCCCTGGACAGGGACAGTAATCACGTCTCTCCAGGTGCCTTGTAGATTAAGACACAGACACCTGTCGTTTCCCATAATCTTCACTGTTGCTCTGGGAGTTTTGAAAAGGCTGGCAGGAATCAGTGTCACAGGAAAGATATAGAAAAAAGATTAGAAAAGAAAACAGGCTGAGTGGAGGAAGAGACTTGTCTAAGCCACAACGACTAATGGTCTGTAGGCATTCAGACTCCCACATCCAGATTTTGCAAAATCCTACCCCTCTCTGTCTACTTGTAGTACATGTCTGCCAGAGGATTAAATCCCTTGGCCTCTCCTTCCCTTTTTTCCTAGATGCTCAGCTCTGATCCTCCAGCCCTGTGCCACCTGTAACCCTCTTCTACTGCTGCCACAGAGACTGGGGAAATAGTGGGGTCCGGAGCCCCGGCAGGGGCCAAGCTTAGTGACTGAAAAGAAGCAGAAGGCCTTGGGGTGGGTGGGGCCTTCCGTGGAACTGGGGGACGAAGGGGCACAGGAGAGGTGAGGGTTCCCAGCTCCCATTCTCTCACATCCTTTCCTTTGCAGGCTCCCAAAGCTTGTGACCAGGCCTCGGTTTCTGCCTCCTTAGAGTGGCAGCGGAAGCTAGAAGCGGCTGAGGCTCTGCTGGCTCTGAGAGAATCTTGCCAGGCCCCTTCTAGCTCCATCTCCCTGCTCCAGCCTTGCACTGTGCCAGGTAGCCCGGTCTTTGAAAGGAGAACACGGGGTGGGGGATTTTTTGGAAATGGGAGGGCGTTGTGGTAAGCAGGGCCTAACAGGGAAGTCAGGGTCGGAGGGAGGGTGGGAAGTTGAACCTCCCTGGGCCCAGGCACCCAGGCTCCTCAGTCTGATGCTTGAGGTGGCAGCCGATGGTTGTTCAGTGAATCATCGTTTTGTCGAGCTTTGTGCTCAGCAGCAAATGTCCAGGGCCCTGATGTCAAGAAATGAGGAAACGGAGGCCCTGAGAGTGGCAGAGACTTGCCCTAGGGCATGAAGCATACCAAGTGGAAGAACCAGGTCTCCTGACTCCCAGCCCAGAGCCTTCGTCCCAGACCCCTGCAATCTGCTGTGATCTGGGGAGGACACACATAGGTGATAAGAGCCTAGTCTGGGAGGAGATCTGTTCCCTGCCTTCAGGGAGTTTCCAGTATAGATGTGGAGCCCGGATGCCTTCACAAGTTATGTTTTGTGGCTAAATCTCAACAATGAGCCTGGAGAGGAAGGACTGGAGGAGAAATAGACACCTGGGGAGGCTGAGAGGGAAGTATAGGCACTACCAGACCAAAGTGGTGGATGGGGTACGGTGTGTGAGTGAAGCAGCAACCCTGGAGGAATGGCTGGAACAGAGGGGATGAGGGTGGAGAGGCCACACAACACAGAGGTCTAGCATGCCAGGCTTAGGAGGTTAGACCAGCAGCTGTGGGTGATGGGGAGCCAGGGAATGTCTGAGCTAGGGAGGAGCATGTTCAAAGACCCTGGGCTTGACAAAAAAGAAATACGGTGGCGGTGATGGAGGGATTGGAGGAGGCAAGACTTGAGATGGGCAAATCAGCAAGGAAGCGTTCTGTGCAATATAGCCCAGGTGGCAAAGCCTTGATTGGGTGGAACGAAAAAGAAGGGAGAGCTGGGAGGGGAAATGGATGTGACCTGGCTCTGACCCCATCGTTTCTGTCTACAGCTCCTGCCGGAGATAGAGGACTTCAGCCTCCTCCCCCCAACCCTCTCCAACCCAAGCCGGCCAGCTCTGTTTCTGTGCCTATTGGACACCTGGGGTGCATCCCCCTCTCAAACTAGGAGCCTAGAGAAGGAGAACTCACTAGAATACTGCCTATTGATGCATTTGCAAAATGTTTAATGTCCAAAATTCTTAGCATCTTTTCTTTAAACCTTTAGGAGCTCTTATAAGCTTTCAGACCCTTTTCATTATATGGGGCAATTCCTTGACTGAGGGTGGATATCCTTGTACCTCCATCCTTTACCCTGTTGGATCCCGGGGCCTTTTAATGTCTCTTATAAAAACAGGGTTGTGCAATCTAAGCCGATCAGTCTCTAAATAGGGTTCTGTGTGAGTTCATATGTTCATCTGCCAGAGTTTTTATTTGACTCATGATTGCGAACATACTAGTGCACTCATGTACTTATCCACGCATGTGAAAATCTGAAGATGGTTCCATTTTGTGTCTAGGTTTGTGTCTGTGAACAAATAATAAACCCTTGTTGCAAGGCACTGAGATATAGGAGTTGTTTGTTACGGCAGTATAACCTAGACTATCCTGACTCTAACAGACATGTTCAATTCACTTTTCAAAGTGAGAATCACTTTACTCAATAACTGGGATTCCTTAACATGGCTAGATAAGAAAATGGTAGAGAGAAAAGGGTAGGAGACTTATTTCATCCAGCAGGTAAGTGCCTACCCTCTGCCTGTGGTCCAGAGGGCCACAAATTGACATGTCTGCAGGATCAAGCAGATTATATAAATGAGTAGAGCAGGCCAGATGAGGTCTGGCCAACTGACAGTGCACACTCTACCTACGGGGGCAGCTGTCACTTGGCTCTAGCCAATTGTTGCCATGCAGGAATGTGGACTCATTGTTGCCACATCTCCTGATTTTTCAAGAGAGGATGGAATTTTAGACTTCTTTGTAAAATATCTCAATTTTAAAATGTTGGCTCTGGTTTCCTCTTTAAGCCCTTTACGTGGGCCAAACCAAACATCCAAAAAGGCCAACTTTGGCCAATGGAATGCCAGTTTGATTCTAGTCCTGTATGTATTTTACGGTGGGGGAAACTGAAGCCAATCAGGACAAGAATAATCAAAGAGGGGTGATGAATTAGACCCAGAGCCTACTTCTGAAGGACCTGTGAAATACAAGGAAGAATCACTGTCGTTTATTTATTCTGCGCTCGCTGTAAGCTAAGCACATATAACCTCACAGCAGCTCTGTAAGCTAAGCATTAGTACCATTCTTTTACATATGAGGAAATGCACTCAAAGACTAAAAGTAATTTGTACAAGTGTTTTAAGGAAAATTTTTAGCCAAAGATGGGGAGTGACTCTATTCTCTTTGCCTTGCCCTAAGTTAGCTAGTAATTTACTTTTTTTTTTCAAAGGAATGAGGGAGAGGTTCAAAACTTGATGTGGCAGACACCCAGTCAGAAGGGTCTTTCAAAAATCATCCCTTTATTTTGTACTCAAGGTAACAATGTGTAGTAATCGACAGATCCACCTGCACTTGTTTCTCAGTCCTCTGCTGACGTTCATGATCCTGCCCACCACGCCCATGCCCCCCTCATACTTGTCGAGCTATACCTTTTAAAAGAATCTCTTAATGGCTTACTATGGGCAACTTAGGACATTGTTATAAATGTTAGATTGCAAACATCTTTTGTGAACTATCCTTTGCTCACTACTCCAGTTCACAGGTTTAAAATATCATTTTCTCTAACAGTGTGAGTTAGCCCTTGACTCTGGTATGTTATATAGCAGCACTAGTTGGATCTGAGTATATCCACCACATCAGAGCATCTGCATGGGGTGGATCAATCCCAACCAGTGCTATGCAGGTAAATATTTAACAACAGGTTCTGTAGGGGAGGAGGAGGGTTGGAAGAAATGCCCTGTGTTGCAGCATTTGGCGATTTCAAGCTACCAGCATGATGTCAATTAATGCAGAGTTGGAAAGAGATGTATTTCCACCATTCAGTTACAATATATATACATAATCTCAGGAGCATAGATAACAGTAAAGTGTAGGGAAAAAATTTGGTATTGATGAGTTTTGAGTATGTATCATGTTTGTTTTCAGTATAATGTATGTAATACAGTTGTTACTTTATACAATTTAGTTTTGAATAACAGCTGTGTTTAACAGCTGGCTCGCAAAACTCCTGAAAATGTGACCATCGCCACTTATGTTCCAGTAAGAGGCCCCTCCAGGCACTCCACCGCTTTCAACTCTTTCCCAGAAAGTCACCCCTTCCAAAGTAGGCCACACTATCACTGCAGGGCTGTAAAGGGCTGCTACCACTGGGCTCTGACCAAGAACAGCCTAAGGTGTGGGGAAGAGTATTTGTTATTAATAATAATAGTAAAAAAGAATGGAATGGTCTGGAACAGCTATTGAGCAAAATGAATTGTCAAACATGTTTTTGGGTAAACGTGCCTTCACAGGTAAAGGCCAGAATAAGCAAGACCCATGCAGGAAGGGATGTAGTTAACAGATATTTCTTAAAGGTTAACGGAATGGGGCAACTGGTGTTACCTGGCCATTGGCTCTGTATCTCTCATCGAGAGACAGACATTCATCACACTCCCTCCTCCTTCTCAGACGAATGGCACATAATCTACAAAAACTTCTCCACCTTGCCTTTTTTCACTTAAAAATATATCCTCCATTATTAAGTATAAGCACTATGTTATACAGCAGATCTCCAGAACATACTCATCTGGTATAACTGTAACTTTGTACCCATTAAACAACTCCCCATGGCCTCCATTCCCTGGCAACCACCATTCTGTTGTCCACTTCTATAAGTTTCACTATTTTAGGTGCTTCTTACAAGAGGTATTGTGCACTTAAAAATTTGTTAAGAGGATAAATCTCATCTTAAGTTTTCTTACCACAAGAAAGCAAAACCAAAACAAACAAAAACACAGTAACAAAGGGACACGAGGAAATCTTTGGAGGTGATGGATATGCTTATTACCCTGATTCATGGAGACAGTAACATGGACGGTATGCACTTGTCCAAACTCATCAAATTGTATACGTTAATACAGACAGTTTTCGTATCCAAATTACACGTCAACAAAGCTGAAAAAGCAATATCCTTGAGATCACTCCATAGTGCTCTATAAAGACATCTCTCACTCCTTTCAACAGCTATAGAGTACCATACATTGTGAGAATGTACCATAATTGAGTCGACTAATCTTCTATTGATGGACGCTTTGGTTATGCCTACTCTTGCTATTACAAATACAACTGCAATGAATAGATGTGTGACATCATCTTTAGCAATTTTTATCAATGTGTCTTTGAGATCGATCCTTAGATGTGCTATTGCTGAATAAAGGGTGAAAACACATGTAATCTTGCTCATTACTGTCAAATTCTCCTTTGTTAAAGGGTGTACCTATTGCCTTTTCTCCATCAATGTATGAGAGTGCAAATTTCCAAGTTTTACCAGTAGTGTTGCCAGACTTTTGGATTTTGCCAATCTGATAGGTGATAAATGGTATATCAGTGTATTTTTAAACTTGCATTTCCCTTAATGTGAACAAGATTGCCCATCTTTTTCATATGGTTAAAACCAATTCCCACTTTCTTTTTCCTTGTGTGCTATTAATTGATATTTTGGGCCCAATTTCTATAGAGTCTTTGGTCTTTTCTTCTTTTCAAAAAAGCTCTCTATACCTTAGGGATGTACCAGGACATTTGCCCTTCTTTCTCTGATAAAAGTCGAAAATATTTTTTCCAGTCATTGCACACTTCTTTTTCACTATGTTTATGGTATTTTGCCATGCAAAAGCGTTTTATGTTTATGGAGCCAAATTTATCAATATTTTGCCTTATTTCTTCTGGATTTTCATTCATTGTTAGGAGAATTTTTCTCATTTTTAGTGTATAGAGGATTGTTTCTTGTAGTACTGAAATGGTTTTGACTTTTACATTCTAAACTCTGGTCCATTTGGAACTCATCCTCATGTATGGTGTGAGGAAGAGATCCAGTTATTCCAACATCACTTGTTTAAAAGTGCATCGTGGGAATGACTTCATGAAGATGGCAGAATAGAAAGCTCCAGCCCCTCCTCCCTCCACAGAGCTATTGAGTTAACAACAATGTATGGACCAGTATAACTGTGTGAGAACTCCAGACACTAGTTTAGAAGCTACAGCACTCAGGTCGTTGTAAAACCAAGACAGGATTCCAGCAAAAGGGGCAGGAAGATTTGCTGTGTTTTGAAGCCTGTTTGGCCTCCTCCCCTTACACTGCATAGCATGGAGAAACCAGGAGGAAATGCCCCATTATGCAGCCCCAGCATGTGGAGGGAAACAAAAGAGTGGACTGTGCACCCAACGTCTGGCT